TTTTTCAGAATTAAGAGAAAATTATTTCCTTTAAAATTCAAGAAAGCTTAAAAATTTGTCTTTGGATAGGCAGAATTTAATTATCCTTATTAGGTAATTCATAGTTGTTGAGGTAAAAAAAATAAGCTCCCCCCAAAAAAACAGCCAACCAAAAATGTCTTGCTGGTTAAGCAATTCACTTTATTTAACTTTATGTAACATTTATTATTATTAAAACTCATAAGACTCATAGCTGCATTTATATTCCCTGTAATATTTATAATTATAATTATATTTAATATTTATAGTCCTTTTAAAGAATCACAACAATAGTTCTGTAAATCTACAGTTCCATGCCTCTATCGCAAATTTCCACTTTGACTGTTGTCAGTGTTTTGGATTCTTGTTTATGTCACTAGCATTTGATTGAAATTTACATCCATAAAAAGTTATTGCTCCTCGTAATTTAGGAAATATTACTGTATTCGATGTCTTGTACTTAAAGTGCAGAGGAGAAAATTTAGATATATAGAAGCATTGACTTTAAGCTTTTGTATTATTTCAAAAAGTCTTCTGTGCAAAGTAAAATTACTAAGAGAAATGAAATATCCAATAAACATTCAAACCTCCCTATTGTTATCAGTTGCAGGAACGTAAGGACTTAACTATACAGTTGTATGTGGAATTCAGCTATCAGTTAAACTTCTTCATGCTTAGACTTTGCATACATTATAACTGCTGACAATGCAAGGAAAGGACCCACAGCTTTTCTACAAGGCACGTAGTTCGGGAAGTAAATGACTACTTCTAATGCAGGTAAACTGGTGTTATTTACTTTCTGGTGAAGCTGAGGGTAGTTTATAACTTCCAAGCTGAAAAAATGCTATTAGTTCTATATAGTGGGCCAAAACATTGATAGTGGTATGAATTATGATGTCCATAGAAAAACAGTCTGCAATCTACTTTACACTAACTAGATATGTATTTGTGTATATATACATACACACAGGAAAACATGATATATAAGATATATACAGACATATATATGTGCATACATATATATACACACGTGTCATGCATACTTGAATTGGTATGCATATATATGCATTTATGTATCATTACTATTTATGGATCAAAAAGAGGGAAATTATGTCTTTGATTTAAAATTTAATAAATAAGAAGTCCTGTCTTATTTTGTTAGCTCCGATTTTACCTATTTCCTTTATTATATAATTTAGCAGCTTTTTGACTGATACTTTGGTTTCTCCACAATCTTTTCCTCCATTAACACTTACTTTTAAGGAATTACTACTTAAAAATTACAGAACTACCAGTGTTTTCTCCCAGCGAATACTTTTTATTTTTCTTCACTCTGCCTCAGGAAAGTAAACTTGTAGGGCAGTAAACATGGAAGTGGAAAATGAAGTTGAGTATAAGAACCAGGGTGGATCATCCTCTTTCAGTGAAACATAGAAATAGAAGTTTGTGCAAATGCGTAATGCTCTTTGACATTTTGGTCATTGCCATCAAAGACATTCTGGGATATTTTATTCTAAAACTCCCTAACTTCCTGTATTTTCTTTCCACTTCTAATTCTTGAACTTAGTCTTTTAGATACTAATTGCTGCACTTACTGATTTCATTGCGATCATATTACAGGCAGGTATCCACTCTATCTAACTTCAGGCACTTTAACTCAGGCCCTTAAGAATACAATTACATTACATAGTTAGCTGGTTCAGAACAACGGTTCAGAGCTATAACTCTGGGACCATTCACTCTGGGTAGAGTGAATTCTATCTACCCTAGGCTTATATGCTGTATAAATAAATCTAAGGCTTTTCCATAAACAACAAATATTTTTATAGTATTTATAGCATTTTCACTCAGATATTCCAGCTGGTAAAATTCTCTCTTCCAGGAGAAGAGGAGGAAAAATATGTAACCTGCATCCTCTCTACACTGAACAGGGGATTGTTAGGTGACTCTGTCCCCTGTTATCCTTCTTCCCATGCTGATCATCTTGCAGATACATGTTTGACTACCAACAGTGAGATCAGTATATCTATAAAGCCAAAATCCAAAGATCAAGTCTAGTCTTAACAAACAATGTAAATCTAGCCTAGAATAGGAACTTAGACACTCTACATAGTTCATGGAAAGGGCAAGACAATTCAGGACACTAACTTGAAAAGACCGCCCTTCTCCCTTAACTATAATGGGAGCCTAATTTTCTCACTGAGACACTTGTTTACTTTGGAAAGACAAGAGCACTGCTCTTTTTTTTTGGTTCCTTCCTCTCTCTCTATTTTTTTAAACCTTGGTTCTACTGCATTTGATATTTAAAGTTTAATTTTAGTCTATCATTGATTCCCTATTTCCTGTCATCCTTCTCCTCCTCTATGTAGCCTATCAAGTCTTATTATGAGGCAATTCTGTAATCACTTTTTCCACTTTGCTGACTTCATAATCCACAGCCTAGTTTTTTCCTTCTTTGATCTTTTAGTCTCTTTCTGCCTTCTCTACATGGGTCTTGATTTGGTCTTTCTGTTTCTCAGGTTTCACCTTCCCCATATTTCATTTGTGCTTCGCACTGCATTTCTGACTTCTTATTACTCTTTTCATTCCGTACTGTTTTATATATAACAGGGATATTAGAATCACTGTTAGTTGAAATAATACTTTGGATCCCACAGTCTACCCTTTCTTTTTTTGTACTTTAGCACCAATTATTCCAGACATTCGCTACCATCGCTTCCACTTATCTTCCATTGACAACATCGAAACTGCCTAACATGACTTCCTACACTCTGTACTTTTACTACAAGACCTGTCAGGTTTTGTTTTCTTCCTTCTCATTTCTACATATATAAATTTCTACACACATAGTTCTACTGAAGATTATATGAAGAAAGAATAAAGTGAATTGTACTGCCTGTTTGTGACTTTAGTTCCAATGAGGTACATCAGAATTTTTTTGCTGATGTCAACAAAAGGCCAAAGGATAGGTGCCTATTTCTAATCTTGTACATAAAATACAATTCAAACTGCTCTAGCTGTTACAGCCCCTACATGGATATATAAGAACACATATTTTAGAAAAAAAATGAAAGAAGATTTCTTACTGTGGATTAATTTCTCATTACAAAGGGCATGTTCTGAAATAACAATTTAGTATAATAACTAGATGATAATAACTAAAATAATTCTAAAATAATATAAATAAAATATTTCTAAGGGGGAAAAGTATTCAAATGAAATAAGCAATTAAATTCTATTAGCTACACTTCTCAGAAAATAACATATCATGACTCTTACATCATGTTGTTTATAAAAAGCTCCAATTTCTGCAAAATTAAAATTCAGAAGTGATTCCACACAACCCCTACAAACCTTCAAGTGGTCAAATGTCTCATGTGTTCTGTTTTTTCTCCTGTAGATAATATACCAGTTTTTCCCCAGTCATAACCTCAACATTCCTGAACAGCTTTACCTAAACTATAAAGTTATTTTTTAAATCTACTGACCAAAAACATCTGTAGAATTATCAGTCCAAAATTATACATATTTTGAACTGATCACAAAAGATTTTCAATCATTACTCCATCTCTCTTGTCACTGAGAAAAGTTTTTTCTCTGTCAAGCATTCCCTAATGTTTTATTAATACTTTCCTGTGTTATAGCTGAAGTTGTTGCATTTTTATCACCTTTGGGAATGGAATTGAAAATAAAGCCAGATTCTGTAAAATTCTGGAACACTGGTAAGAAAGACATTACATGTATTTCTGCAGCATTATAATTAAATTTAAATTTAGGAAAAAATTTCAAATCACAGAGCTATTTAGTATCATGGTGCCATTTGACGTAGATTCCCATCTCTACTTTTTATTGTAAGACATGTAATAGCAAAAGTGCATTCTGCCAGTCATTGTACAAATGCGAATTATGATATGTGTCAAATGGCAGGGGGAGAGGAGGAAGAATTCATTTTGTGAGATATTGATGCAGTAGTACATTAAAGGGCTTGCTGCTGGTTGTAACTCAGAGGAATGGACATGATAACCTACCATGTCTTTTCCATTTCTATTTTTCATGACGTTCTAATGATTCTATCACACCAGGTGATTTTAGCAGCACAGATAATCTACAGTTCAGTTTTCTATACCTTATACTAGTTATATTCTGGTGGGTATATTCTACAGATTTTAAATTCCTTTCTTTGACTCTTTCACTCTGTAGTTAAGAATAAATAAGAAGGATAGTTTTGAAACAGCACAAAATTACTTATGTAATTGAATAAATCAGATCTTTTTTCTACTGTATGTATATGGTATGCATAATAGAAAGACTACTTTTTTTTTTCCAAGTAGACAATGTAACTGTCCTCTGCTTATTTTAAATTATGAAGAAATAAAACCCATGAAAATTATATGTCTTTAAGTAGAGAACAGGGATAAAATGTAACTTGATTAATGCTGACAGGGGTATAGATAATACTATTAACAAAGCAAAACAAAAATTAACTTATCTGAAAACTGCCTGTGGGAAAATATGCCCTCAAAACTATTGCTACAAATACTTGCGAAGTCCATCAGCCCATCACTGACACTGTGTTTATAGCTTTTATTTCCTGTCATACTGAATAAATAAAAATGTATAATGCCTTGGTTAAAATAAATAATACCCTGATTGTTTGATAAAGAAAGATTTCCTTTTTCAAAATCAGTCCATACAAATCCGAATTTTCTTACTAACCTGTGTAAGTTCCAGGGTTTCTTTCCCTGTTCCTCTGCCTTTTCTTAATTGTGGTGGGTTTTGTTGTTTGGTTTTTTTTTTAATTTTTCCCAGTATTACTTTGGTAAATAATAAAAACCTTCTGTATATTCTTAGTGATCTAACAAGAACAATGCAATCAATTATTGCTACTGTTTGGAGTGCTATGATAGCTTGAAAGTACTGAGTTTTCCATTATAAATTACATATCTGAAAAATGTGGTATCTTTTTAAAACATTTTCCTTACCTAAGCCATGCCTATGCGTTGACATTGGTGGTAACACAGTCCAAGCCTTGGTCTTTGGATTGTAACATTCAACAGTGTTTAATGTCTTTAAACCATCCCGGCCTCCAATGACAAACAGCTTGTCATCGATAACAGCAACACCAAACTGAAGCCTCCTGCCATTCATCACTCCAGCCTGGATCCATATATTTGTTCTGAGATCATACTTTTCAATAGTTGTAGCACCTGATGAGACACAGTAAATAGGACAATGTATTAAAACTACACTTACAAAATTGGCTTTTTCTTTTCTTTTTTTTCCTAAAAGTTTCAAAACTTTAATATTATTTTCTGATTATTTCCAACATCTTGACAAATATTCTGTTTCTTTAGATAAAGTAATCCCTGGAATATGTGTGTGTACATATACATGCATATATATTACTATTGTCCCTCCCCAAGAAAAGTGAAAAAAGCCCAACAACTAAATGGCCCCTATAGAATCAAAGCACTGCAAGTTTGAATCACAGTATGCTCTAACTTTATGATCTTTTTTTACAGTTCAGTGGCATAACTATCTAAGATAATTTATCTTGTTACACTTGATTCCAACCTTCCATAAAGTGTGAAAAAAGCCTGTGAAATTACATGGCATTTTCATCAAAGATTAGAACTTGCATTTCAATTTGGGTTCATTTTTTTTTTCTCATTTTAAGTACCCATGTGTAGTTTTTTTCAGACACATTTTTGCTGGAAGTACAAAATGTTGTAGCATCTCAAATAAAATATTTAAAGAATGTTTCCATGGAAAATAGCATGGGAGACAGGACATAAATAGCATAAAATAGACATAAAATAGCAGCTGGGAGACAGGACTGAAAATATGTGAGAAAAACAATCCTGCAAACACCAAGATCAGTGAAGATGGAGGGGAAGGAAGTGCTCCAGGAACCAGAGTAGAAATTCCCCTGCAGTCCATGTTGAGACTATGGTGAGGCAGGCTGTCCCCCTGCAGCCTGTGGAGGTTAACAGTGAAGAAGATATCCACCTGCAGTCCATGGAGGACCCCGCGATGGACCAGGGGGATGCACCTCAAGGCGGCTGTGATCCCATGGGAAGCCTGAACTGGAACAGGTTCCTGGCAGAACCTGTGGACTCATGGAGAGAGGAGCCCACACTGAAGCAGGTTTGGTGGCAGGACTTGGGACCCCCTTAGGGTTTCACGCTGGAGCAGTCTGTTCCTGAAGAACTGCTCATCTAGAAGGGATTCACACTGGAGCAGTTCATGAAGAACTGCAGCACATGGCAAGGAATCAGATTGCATAAGTTTGTCTCCAGTGAGATTGCATAAGACTGTCTCCAGTGAGAGGTACCCCACACTGGACCAGGAAAAGAGTGTGAGGAGTCCTCCGCCTGAAGAAGAAGGAGTGGCAGAGATAATGTGTGATGAACTGACTGTCACCCCCCTTCCCCATCTCCCTGTGCTGCTGGAGAGGAGGAGGTAGAGAATTTGGGAGTGAAATTGAATCTAGGAAGAAAGGAGGGGTGAGGGAAAGGTGTTTTAAGGTTTAGTTTTTATTTCCCATTTCTCACTCTCTGACTTAATTCGTAATAAATTAAATTAATTTTCCTGAGTTGAATCTGTTTTGCCTGTGATGGTAATTCATAGACTCATAGAATCATAGAATGGTTTGGGTTGGAAGGGACCTCAAAGATCATGGAGTCCCAACCCCCCTGCCATGGGCAGGGACACCTCCCACTAGACCAGGTTGCTCAAAGCCCCATCCAGCCTGGCCTTGAACACTTCCAGGGATGGGGCATCCACAACTTCCCTGGGCAACCCATTCCAGTGCCTCAACACCCTCATAGTAAAAAATTTCTTCCTGAGATCTAATCTGAATCCTTTTTCTTCCAATTTAAAACCATTTCCCCTTGTCCTATCATTACACCTCCTGGCAAAGAGTCCCTCCCCAGCTCTTCTATAGGCACCCTTCAGATATTGAAAGGCCGCTATAAGGTCTCCCTGGAGCCTTCTCTTCTCCAGGCTGAACAATCCCAGCTCCCTCAGCCTGTCTTCATAGGAGAGGTGCTCCATCCCTCTGATCATCTTCGTGGCCCTCTGCTGCACCTGTTCCAGCCGGTCCATGTCCTTTCTGTGTTGAGGACTCCAAAGCTGGACACAGTATTCCAGGTGGGGTCTCATGAGTGCAGAGTAGAGGGGCAGAGTCACCTTCCGAGACCTGCTGGCCACACTTCTCCTGATGCAGCCCAGGACACGGTTGGCTCTCTGGGCTGCCAGCGCGCACTGCCGGCTCATGTTGAGCTTCTCATCCATAAGCATCCCCAAGTCCTTCTCCTCAGGGCTGCTCTCCAGCCATTCTCCACTCAACCTGTATTTGTGCCTGGGGTTGCCATGTCCCAGGTGCAGGACCCTGCACTTGGCTTGGTTGAACCTCATGCAATTTGCATGATTGATGAGTGATCTCTCCCTGTCCTTATCTCAACCCTCCAGCGAGGCTTTTATTATGTTTTCTCTCCCCCGCCCAGCTGAGGAGGAGAGTCATAGTGCAGCTTTGGTGGGCACCTGGTGTCCAGCCAGCGTCAACCCACTACATAGAGCAATAAAGGAAGCATTATTAACTGAACTAGATTCCAGTAAATGAAAGAGTAATGCATCCCATTAATTGTAATATGAGTGCAGGAAAGGTTAATTTAAAGCAAAAGCACAAATATTTAAGTAAGTTTAAACTAATCCTTAAGATACTTGACAATTCGTCTGAAATGTAACCAAAGTTTTATCTCTATATACACATAACAGTGCTTCATTTCTGAAGTTTACATATCCCTACAGAAAGATTCAACGTAATTATTAAGCTTTACAACTATTTGGATTATAACGTAAGGTTAGAATTCCATGGGAAATAATTATTTTCAAATTCATTCATTCTTTGGAACAGAAGAGCAATGAACCAAGTGGAAACAAATATCACGAAAACAATACTTTTGTTAATTGAACTAAAAAAGATATAATTCAAATTCAGTTTGTATCTAAGTGTAGCAGAACAGCAATAACATACAAGTCAACTGGATATACTAAATCCCCTGCTAGTTTTATGAAGCCGTAAGATATATGAAGCAATTTTTGCATTTGATTGAGAGAGGAATTTATTTATTTATTTCCCATGAATTTAAAATGGATAACTGTGTCAATGCACTAATCTTTAGGTTAGAAAGAACAAAAATACAGATTATTTGATACAGTTGTTTGGTGGTGCTGGAGGGCATATTATAATGATGCATATTAATAAAGTTACTTTATAATCATTGAATTTTTTTATATGTGGAATCTACTCGTCTTAAAGCTAGAATCGTAGCATATAAATTCTATAATGCTGCCGACTTCCATGGTAAAGGGTACAGTTTAAACTCTTTGTCATTCTAATTTCAGAAAATCTAACATAACAAATGCAGTCTTTGAATTATGCTCAGCTATACATTTTCTAATATTGGTTACGTCTGAGTTCGCCACAATGTTTTATTAAATTACATATTGAGCATCTAATCCAGCTGTTCCTGGAGTGCCTGAATTCTTTTTATCCAGTAAGGTGTCTTGCTAAAGTAATAATAATCATCGTAACAACAGCAACAACAATAATCCAAACCGGTCCTATAAAATGGTCTTTAGTATTGGGAGCATGAATGCAATACATTCCAGATTCCAATGCAGACAAGAACAGAAGACCTCTCAAATTACCATAGTCCTTGGATGTAATCAGCTCATTGATGAAGAAGAGATGACTATATCAGCTAAAATACTATATAGATATCTTGTCAATGGGCAGAAAAAGCATACTTTTAGTATTTTTGGCTGAATTCTACTTCATGAACCCCAGTCAGTTCAGTTCCCAGCACTAGAATGCCCATAGACTCTCCATGGATGCGAAGATCGCAATAAGAAGGTCTATTTGCTGACAGTCGTCCTACAGGAAGAGCCCTAGGCCTAGAATTTTTCATCAGAAATCATTAATTACTGTAGGAGTTTTTAGTATATGTCATCGCTGCATTCAGGCCAGTTGATTCATTTCATATCAGTCTTGCATTCTCCAGGCTTTTTTCAAAAAACACTGAGCCAAGTTAAAAATCTTGTTCCTTGACCTTAGTGATTCTCACCACGGATAGTCAGCCTGCAACTTGTGAATGAGTAAAACTTACCAGAACATCTCAACCAACACAACAGATGCAGCTGCCCACAAAAAAGTCCAACCAGAAAATAGCTGTGTAGAAAACATCTGCAGTCCCTCCCCTGCTCCTGCACTGAAGCAGCTGTGACCTCTACTTTTAGCCCCAACGACAAAATGCAGCAACATCTCCTATTTTGCTAACGCATCGGTCCTGTCATAGAACATTCTTAGTGTGCAGCTGGATATGGCACAGACAAACCAACAAAAAACAAATCAAACAAATTAAAAAAAAAAAAAAAAGTGCCATGTCCTCACCATGAAGATGGTCAAGCAAATTGAATAGTTCATCCATAGAGGTTGGTCAGTCTTCATCCTTGAAGGATTTTAAGACCCAAATGGGTATGGCCTGATCTCATAGCTGAACCTGCTTTGAGGAGATTGGGCTAGAGACCTCCTGAGGTCCCTTCTGAACTGAATTATCCTGTGAACCTGTGATTGCATGATCTCAGATGGAAGCTGTGCTCATCATCATCATCTTTTCTCAGGTATGATTAACTTTCAGTAATAAAAAGCTTCATATATAATTCAGTTTTATTTAAGATTGTGAAATGAAATACTGTGTAAATAAAAGACCATTGCAATCCTCTACATCTTCCACTATGTCATGTATTTCTTTGAATTTCTTGTTATTTACATAAATAACTATTTGTCAGAAATATACAAAGTCATGGAATAAAACCTTATAAATCCTTGCCAACTTTCACTCAACAGAGCTACACAAAGTCTTCTGTTTAACTTGAAGAGAGGAAAATTTACACCACGTCAGACATTAGTACTGTTTCTAGGGGTTTTCTCAAATGTAATAGGTTATAAGAAAACAAACAAAATAGTTTTAATGAGCATTAAGCCATTCCTAATGGCTTAAGTCACAGGATTACATTTGATTTCATGACACACAAATCATTGTTTCTGATTTGTCATGGGGAAATAACTTCCAAAAATTGTAATTAAAGAAAAAAGCCTGTCTTGCCCTAGTGCTGTGCTGTTCTAAACTATTTTGACTGC